TGAAGGATCTTTGGTGTGAGTGTTGTTTTCTTGAAGTATCGTTGTCTCTGAATGAATTTCAAAACAAGTTCTTCAGCGATCACTGAACAAGCTCAGTGTATGATCGCTGGAACTGAAATTACAGATACAGAAATACATCGAAAGGAAAAAGGGATTATCATCAAATCACTGAGAGAGAGGATCAACACATTGTCAGACAAAAATTATGCGGATTGGGTACATGAGATGGAGAATTTCTTATTCGCAAAAAATAAGAGCGGTTTCATAGACGGGTCAATTGAAAAGCCAGAAAATACATCCAAGGATTACATGTCATGGATGAGAGTGGATGCGATGATAAAGGAGTGGCTCACCACCGCCATGGAAAAAGAAATAAGAGGCAGCGTGAAATACGCTAACACCGCTGCAGAGATGTGGCTTGATCTTCGTGAATGATTTGGAAAGAGAGCGCACCGAGGGCATACGAACTGAAAAACAAGATCGCTGTCACACACCAAGACGGCGCCACCGTTTTGGCTTACTACACAAAGCTTCGATCATTATGGGATGAAATCCAGTCGGTGTTCTCCATCCCACAGTGCACGTGCAATGGGTGTACGTGTGACATCGGTAAGCGGCTTGTTGCACATCAAGAAAAAGAGAGGCTGTACGAGTTTCTTATGGGTCTCGACAACGGGTTCGGAGTTATCAAAACCCAAATCCTTGCCACCCAACCAACTCCGGGTCCCAGGACAGCCTATCATCTCGTTGCAGAAGATGAACGACAAAGCTGATAACCGAAGATAAGAAGCCTACTGTGGAAGCCGCCGCCTTTAAGGCTTTTGTTCCTCCAAAACGTGACAACTTTTTCTCCTCACAACAGAAAACGAAAACCTATTCGAAAACAGCAAAACAAGAAGAAGAGGTACAACACTGCATTCATTGTGATCGGGATGGACATAATTGAGAAGGTTGCTTCAAACGGATTGGTTACCCTGAGTGGTGGCCAGGGAAAACGAAGGGAGACAAGACAAAACCGAGGGCCTCCTGCGTTGAGGGTGGTTCGAGTCCTATTCCCGGACTCACTATCGAGCAATACAATCTCTTCTTGAAACACTTTGAATGTGGAACCAACACAGGTGATGAAGGGAACAAACGAGTAGCCAACATGACAGGTAGAATTGATAATAAGGATGATTGGATTGTTGATTCGGGGGCTACCGATCACACAACCTATCTAAGTAATATCCTTGTTAACAAAAGAAAAGACCCTCTTGGAATGCCTGAGGTTATCCCTAATGGAGATACCATCATGGTTGAGGGTAAGGGTGATTATACTCTACCGGGAGGCACCAAGATCGAGGGCCTATTACACGTACCAAAGTTTACTTGTAATCTTTTATCCGTTAGCCGATTAACCAAAAACCTTCAATGTGTTGTGACATTCTTTCCTGATTTTTGTGTAATGCAGGGTCTCCGTTC